TATTTTATTGATTATTTTTACATGTTGTACTTACCGGTTTCAGAAATATTTCTTATTCTTCTTTTTAGAGAGTTGCGATCCTACGAGGTGGGATAGATGTTTAATCAGTACGAAATGTCCTATGCGGTCATCGTTGTCGTCGTCTTGCAGATACATCATGTTAACGTGCCTCTCTTTCTTATCATCAGTAAGCCGAAGAGGCAGGATGTTCCCGTCCTCGATACCATAGACGTTGATCAAGATATCGTTGAGACGTTCGAATTTTTTAATGTCTTTTAATTTCATCGTGTTGCAGAGTATTTCTTTAACAGTAGGTTAAAATAATGTGACACAGATTGATTAGTGTATAAACGAGCAACAAACTGTTACTTTAAGATTTAATAAGGAAGCTTCTTACACATATTGAGAGTGAGAGTATCAACAACGTAGTCAACGATAAAAAGGCGCGAACAAGAACGTAAAATCTTATACAATAACTCAGAAAGGAAACCTAGTAAGAACTGAACAGAAGCGCCACCACGCAGTGAAATAAACGTACTCTCATGACACTAAAGAAAAGAACTATATAACGTAAAGAACTGTATACTGGCTTAAGCGCCAATTTCAACACTCCCACTCGCGAAAGCCAAGTAACTAAACTAAGTTAATTAAGTTTCGATTTGTCTCGAATTTATCGCGAGTTAATGGTTTCGTTAACATATAGCGAGTTGTTCTACACTTGACACATGTTTAATCTATAATTGTTTATCTTTTACTATTTGTCGAATATAATGATCCCAGGTAGCAAATATACGTTATTTTGACGTCAAATTTGGGTCATTTACTGACCATGACTGCCGTCACTAAATGACGTCTTAATGACGTACTAATGACGTACTAATGTCGCAAAATTATTGACGTCATTGCAAGGACGTCATTTTAACATCATGTTCCCAGATAACAAAATGCGCGCACAATGGTCTCACAGTGCATTCACGCGTGCAAAATTATCCGCACGCGTGAATGTCATGCGCATGACAGAAGTGTCCTCATTTGGGTGCCATATTGCTCGCACGCATGTGGACGCACACAAAAAAAAAAAGTTACAGCAGTTCTTATTAATTAGATTTCTTTCTCCATCATTTGTGTCCTCTCCTTAAGTGCTGAACTGACTAATAATACCTAGGAAAAAACTTTTAAACCTGATAGGATTTGAACTCGTGACTTGATCCATGGTCCTGTTCTGAGTCGTTCACCTAACGTACTGCTCCACTGTTACCTTATTGACAGAGATGTTTCGAATTGTCTATATATACTTTTAATAAAAATATTTTGTCTACCCAAACAGATTATTTTGTTAAAATTACAAAAAAAACACTTATTTTGTAATGGCAACAAAATTTTACCTTGTTATTTACAAAAAGTAAGTAAGCAAATAAATTTGTACCGTCGCTAAATAAAAAAATTTACAATATTTTGTTCATTTAACAAAAAAATTGTATTTTGTTATTTTAACAAAATAATTTAATGATAATCAGCTATTTGTGTTTAATTATTTCTTTTTGGTTACTATTACTATATCTTTTTTCTTATTAAAAGGAAAATTAAGGAGAACCAAAATATGACGTCATTATAACGTCATTATGACGATGTCATAATGACGTAAGCCCGGATCCTCATACGGGCAACAGCGCTTTGACACCAAACGCTGATTGGTGAAAAATCGGTGGCGAGGGTAAAATTTACCCCCATAACCCGTTTTTCACCAATCAGTGTCCGGTGTCAAAGAGCTGTTGTTCGTATGAGGATCCGGGCTTATAATATCGGTTGGTCACTTTTTGGTCACTTGACGTCATTCGTACCAACATGACCAGAATTTGACGTCAAAATGACGTGTGTTTGCTACCTGGGGATACTTAATGTCCATATATTTTGTTCTTTGATGAAATACTGGATTCTTTACTAGCTGCTCTGCTGCTGCATTGTCACAATAAAGTATTGTTGGTTGTATCTGCTTGGCATTTAAATGTGTTAAAAGACCTCTAGCTCTAACGACTTCTTTGGTTGCATCATGTGCTGCAATATATTCTGCCTTCGTTGTAGAAGTAGCCATAATGCTTTGCTTCTTGCTCCTCCAAATGACCGGACCATTGTTTAACATTACAATTACACATTGATTGATTTTCTTGAATCTACACAGGATCCATAATCTGCATCTGAATATGCGGTTAATATATTCGGCTGATTAGTTGAGCTGAATTCGATACCATAATCAATGGTTCCTCTTAGATATTTAAGCACACGTTTTGCTGCCTTCCAATGTATGCGTGATGGTTACTCAAGAAATTGACTTAAATTACTCACAATAAACATGATATCAGGCCTAGTGCATATAGCCAGATACATCAATGAGCCAATCAATTGACGATATGGTACGTCTGTGATGACAGCCGATTGGTCATTACTGCTGGTGTTTTTCTTGATGCACATCCGCTGGAACAGATACTGCATTAGCTGAATCCATTTTGAAACGCTTGAGTACATTTTTTGTATATGCTGATTGATGCATCTTAATTGTTCCTTTTTGTTTGTCACGCTCAATTTCTAATCCTAGATAATAATTATCTGATGGTATGGTGATCTCAAATTTATCCTTTAACTTATTTAAAAGACATTTTATTGTACTCATTGATTTTCCAATTACCAATGCATCATCAACATACAAAGCTATTTGTAGGTTACCATCAATAGTTGTATATACACAACTATCATAATCCGTAGGTTTTAAACCAAATTCCTTGAAAAAATTATCAAATTTTTCATACCACTGCCTTGGTGCCTGCTTTAGTCCATATAAACTCTTTTTGAGTTTACAAACTCTACGGGTGCTGTCACATGCGGCGTAACTTGCGTAAACGTAACCTGTGTAATCTAGTAAATTTTCAGAATACGCATGTTACGTTATGCTATTCTTTGGTCGGGATTCACACAGGGCGTATTTTTCGATATACGTAGGTTACGAAAACTAATTATAAGATTGTTTAGAATTTCTGTTAGAATGTACAACGGAAACCCTAATCAGCGATTGGTTGTATTAGTTACACATTTTACGCAATTCCGTAAAATATGCCCTATGTGAATCCCGACCAAAGAATAGCATAACGTAACATACGTTTTCTGAAAAGTTACTAGATTATACAGGTTACGCTTACGCAAGTTACGCCGCATGTGACGGCACCCTACCGCTGCCATCATCAAATCCTTTTGGTTGAAACATAAAAATTTCTTCTTTTAGGTTACCATGTAAAAAGGCCGTATTGATATCAAATTGACTGATCTCGTAACCCTTAGTTGCTGCTAATGCTAACAGGATTCGAATTGATTCAAACCTGGTTACCGGAGAAAATGTTTCGCTGTAATCAATTCCTGCTTTTTGTGAACATCCTTTTATTACTAAGCGTGCCTTATATTTATCCACTGATCGGTCTGGTTTATATTTGATACGATAAACCCATTTATTTTGAATAGGCTTACGTTCAATTGGAGGATCGACCAAATCCCAAGTGTCATTTTTGATTAGACTTTTAAACTCATCAGTCATTGCATCCTCCCACTGTTTCGAAGTTGACGAATTTACTGCCTCTTCATATGTAGTCGGGATTCCATCTGCTAATAGTGCTAAAGCTACTTGACAGTTGTTCTCCATATCATCTTCAGGCGTCTTGTGTAACTGTTTATTTCGTGTGCGAAGTGCAATTGGTTCACCTTGAGTTGATTCGGCATCTTGAAAAATTTCTTCTTCTTGATCTTGCTCTGAAGAATTATCATCTTCATGTCCAATGATGACTGCTGTTTGTTTTGGCATGTTCTCAACAATTTCAACATCTCTTGCTGTGATTGTTTTGCGTTTACCACGTTCCCAAAGTCTGTATGCCTTTTGACCAGGTTCATAGCCAACCAATACCATTTCTTTAGACTTCTTTTCAAACTTCGTTCTAAACTGTTTGTCAATCAGCATGTAAGCTTTGCTGCCAAAGATTCGAAAATAACTGACATCTGGTTGCTTTCCAGTCCAAACCTCCATGGGCGTTTTACCTTCAAGACGTTTGAGAGGAATCCGATTCTTGATGTTGCAGTTCTTGCAGCTTCTGCCCATAGTGTTAACGGTAGATCCGCCGCTGCTAACATACTTCTAGACATCTCGACAATTGTCCTGTTTTGATGCTTAACACGTCCGTTTTGTTGTGAACAATAGGCCGTTGAAAATTCTTGTACAATTTTGTTCTTTCTCATTAATACTTTTACTTCACTCGATGTGAATTTTTTTGCATTATCTGATCTCATACGGCAAATTTTGTGACAGTTGGCTGATGCAATAGCCAATACATCCTCGATGGCATTTATGATATCGCTTTTAGCTTTCATTGGTTTTGTAATAACTAAGCCGCTTTAGTCATCCACAAATACTGCCATTACTTTGTCGCCACTAATTGAATCCACTGACATTAGTCCACAAATATCAAAGTGAATTAGCTCCGCTGGTGACTTTGCTCTATTTATTGACTCATTAAATGGTTTTTTGCATTGTTTTCCGAAAACACACGCTTCGCAAAATCGATTTTTGTCGTTATTGCCAGCATCAATGCAATTAAAATCTGTTACACTTTTGTTTTGGTGGTGGTCATAGCGCACTGACAAAGTATTTGCCTCCCGTGCCAAAGATCCCGAGTTCAAATCCAGCTAGAATTCTTATAAATAAATAAAAATAATAACAAACAAAACGGCCATCACCGGTTGCTCCGGCCGACCGACAGTCAGTATAACTCTGACGGCTGGATAGGATTCTGTGGGCCAATCACCCGCAAACCCGAAACAAGCTGATTCGAGAAACGGATACGAGCCTCGGATATCGGACGGATACAACGGAAATGAACCTTAGCTATCAAAAAGGTATACGAATTGGCACATGGAACATCCGGACATTGGCATAGGCATCCCGTTTGGCACAACTAAGCAGAGAAATGACACGCTGTAAAATTAAGATCCTAGGTCACAGCGAAGTGCGGTGGAAGAACAGCGGGGACATTACAATGTCAGACAATCACTACATGATGATATACTCGGGCAATTCAACCACCCACATTAATGGAGTTGGAATAGTTATATCCACTAAAATTAAAAAATCATTAATGGAGTGGAATCCAGTCTCCGATCGATTAATAACCGCTCGTTTCCGAGCCAAAAATCGCAATATAACAATCATTCAATGCTATGCACCAACGGAAGTAGCGGACGACAGGGAAAAAGATCATTTCTACAACCAACTGCAGTCTACAATCGCCTCAGCGCACAAAAGAGACATCAAACTTGTCATGGGTGACTTTAACGGAAAAATCGGCAATAATAATAACAAACCCGATGAAATAATGGGCCGCCATGGACTTGGAGAAGCACGCAATAACAACGGCGACCGATTAATTGATCTCTGCATGGCCAACTGACTCTTCATCGGCAGCACGCGATTCCCGCACAAGGACATTCATAAATATACCTGGCAAGCACCAGACGGAGTAACACGTAACCAGATCGACCACGTGCTAATTGACAAGAAACACCTGAAGTCTCTTCTAGATGTTCGAACAATGCGTAGTGCGGACATGTATAGTGACCATAAGCTAGTCGTGGCAAAAATACGCATAAAAACAAAGAATATAATAACAACAAGAACAAAACAAAAGAAATTTAATATCGAAAAATTCAAGAATAAAGGCGAACGTCAGAACTTCTGTGAAACTGTAACAGCCAAAGTTAATAATATCAGTCCTACTAAGTGCGAAGGAAAAATGGGAATTAGTGCAAAAAGCATACGTAGAATCCGCAAATGAAGTCATCGGGATCAAAAACAGTACCCGTAAAATATGGATCACGAATGAAACCTGCGAATTAATCGAACAAAGAAGAACATTAAATCAACAACTAAACCAGGTCCGAAGTGATGTAACCCTTGCAAGATATAACAACATAGAAAAGCAAATCAAGAAAATGGCAAGAAGAGATCGTCGTAAATTCGAAGAAAACATGATCATCAATGACGCTGAAGTGGCGGCGGAACAAAAGGACGTGCGCAAAATATACCAATGTGTCAAGAGGATCACCGGCCATTTTACAAGTATTCCACAAATTAAGAACAGCGCTGACCATATTCTCACTACGGAACAACAACAACTTAATCGATGGGTAGAATTCTTTAAATACGACGACCCAACAATAGATAACTGCGACATAGACTATACAACATCATCTCGTATCAGCACAAAGTCACCATTAGTTGCTGAAATCAGATTAGCAATAAAGAAACTTAAGAACAACAAAGCCGCAAGTAGTGACGACATCGCACCAGAATTACTTAAAACTGATCCATCATTTGCGGCGGAAACGCTTGCCCCCATTATAACAGAAGTATGGGACACAGGCAGCATCCCGGCGAAATGGAAACAAGGAATAATCATCACAATACCGAAGAAAGGTGATCTCCGTGAATGTAAGAACTGGCGAGGAATAACCCTACTGAACACAATTACGAAGATTCTAGCATCAATCATCTGCGAGAGAATGACAGCGCACGTCAACGAAAAATTGAGAAAAGAACAAGCAGGATTCCGAATTATATTTCCAGCCTTTGAATTATAGTGGAGCAAGCAGCAGAATACAACTCACCACTGTATTTGACTTTCGTGGACTTCGAAAGAGCATTTGACACCGTGACTTGGCCGGCTATATGGAAAACACTAGAAAAATTTGGAATACGAGCCCAAATAACAAGACTAATAAAAGAATTATATGATAACGCGAAATGTGGTGTTCTCTTCAAAGGAAAACTGAGCCCCTCCTTCCAAATCAGAAGAGGTGTACGCCAAGGCTGCATTCTATCACCGATGCTATTCTTAATGGTACTGGATACGGTGATGGAAAAATGCAATCAAGAAACAATAGGCGGAATACAGGCTGCTGACTCGCCGACTTGACGATCTCGACTATGCGGACGACATCGTATTACTATCTCATACACACAAAGATGCACAGGGGAGAATCTCAGCACTTCAAAGATACGCTGCAGAAGTTGGACTAAAGATCAATACCAACAAAACAAAAATAATGCTTATTGGAACAAACATAAGCACACCTATTTCCATTGAAGGACGCACAATCGAAGAAGTCAACGACTTTGTATACCTTGGTTGCGTAATTGCCAAAGACGGAGAAACCAACATCGATGTTAGCAAAAGAATAAACAAGGCCCGACAAGCATTCTTCAGACTTAATAAAATATGGAGAAGCTCAAAGATGTCTAACATACATAAGCTTCGTTTATTCAATGCTTGCATCAAATTTGTGCTGCTATACGGTTGCGAGACCTGGAAAAATACAGATGGACTGATAAACAAACTTCAGGTCTTCGTGAACAAATGTCTGCGACGAATTCAGTAGACAAACCAGATGTGTTTGAAATCCACAGACATCGGGGGGGATAGTCAATCGCGTGGCTGTTCTATGCTTGTGTGCGTGACTTCTTTGATTGTGTGTGTGTGATTTAGAAAGCGAAACGCGGTTTTTTCAAGGTCACGCGCCTGTGGTGGGGGCGCCGGTTGGTTGTCACGGGGAACGCGACGCTGTCGTCGAGTGCGCGCTCGACGCTGACGGCGGAGCGAGGTTAAGGCGCGCGCTCGACACTGACGGTGGAGCGAGGTTAAGGCGCGCGCTTTGCGAGGTTACGTCGTTCCCCGCGCTTTTCGACAGGTCGCGCGTACGCGCAGAGATTCTCGCCGCCATCGTCGTTTTCTTGAAATTTATTAATTTTGTTCCGCTCTCAGGAGACAGTGTCTCGACACGCGAGTGCGATGCGCTCGTAATCTCGGGTCGCGCGACTCGATCAAAAGGTCGCGTTGAATGTACGCTATCGACACGGTGACAAGGTCTAGCGAAGAGTTTATGTTGCGCAGGACAGAGTCGAGCCAATTATTTTTTGCAAGAAGATAGTAGGATACGACATCGAGATACGAATAACTTATTATAAATTTTATTTGTGTGAAGTTCATAATTATTTTATTATTATTTATTGTATATAAGAATTACAGAGAAAAATGTAAATACAGAGTTTGACAAAATAAGATAAATTACATAAATAAAATCATACACAATTTGGTGAGGCACCAGCAAGACTGCTGTTTTTAAGCCTCTCAGTATAACAAAACGATTTTATATATGACAAGAATATTAATTATAGCGAAACATAAACGAAATCATACACATGATATACAGAAAACATACACATATTGATGATACTGTAGCATGTCTATTATATTCAATGTTAGGAGATAATACACTCTAGAGAACATTATACATACAATACATAAAAAACGTATAAAATCATACATACAATAAATAGAAACATCTGAACAACAGATATATGACTGGGTATTTTTATTCGAGGGTGTAGAATACAACTATTGATGTCATTTTAAAATAACTTTATTTTGTAATGTACAGGGTTGTACTGATAATTATAATATACAGTGTTGTAATAAACAATTTTGAGAGGGTGATGTATTTTCTGAAAACAAAAAAATTTTTTTGTTAATTTTTTCTACATTTAAAAAACTCACATTATACTTACAATTCCAATCCTCTTCGAAATCGTCCTCATACGGCTCTTCTCCGAATAATTGTGGGAGGTATAGTTTTACCTCCCACGTGTGAAACATATTTTCTCGGTCCCTACTTCTTTCAAGTTGGGTATTATACATGTGACGCATGTTAATAAACCCAACTATGTCCACGTTCCACAACGACGTTTCCTGTGTATAAAAGAGAGTTACAGTATACAATATATAAATATAATTTACTAAGTAGCAATTACAACTTACCAAAGGACGTATTTGTATTCCTAATTCGTCTTTCAATCTTACGTATTCCATTATTTGATTGTCTACCATTATTTCCTGGAAAATCAAAAATAAAGGTTAATATTGCCAATACAAATTTATAGTTTTGAAATACTTACCGCTCTAACTGGGTATCTGTATTTGATTATAAGGAGTTCTCTGAGATTGCTCATTTTCGTAGTAATAGATATATGGAAATCGATATATGGAAATAGATATATGGATCGTGTAGAATAGACTAATAGATTTGATTTAACATCAATCTATTTAAATAGTCAAAATTTTGAAAAATAGTGAAAATCGCATAGCGCGATATGTAATTTTGTCGAAAAAACATGAAAAAATAAATGTCGCGATGACACTTTGAACGAAATTTTGCGGAAATTGCGAGAAGTCTAAGGAAATAAATCGTAAAGTTGTCGGAAAATCATGAAAAAATACATGTCGCGATGACACTTTGAACGAGATTTTGCGGAAATTGCGAAATAATCTAAGGAAATAAATCGTTAATACAAGAGGTCACATACGACGTCATATTGAGTGAAAAGATATTTATTTATTTTACATGATTTATCTTATTCCTTTAATTAGTCAATACTTAATTTAGACATCGCTTAACAATAATTCGTCTTTAAAATAAGATAATAAAAACAAAATAAAGAAAGTAGATAATAAATATAAATATGTTACACGTTTTGCCTCTCGGATTGAGCCCTCCTCGTCAGACGTTAAGAAATGTTGGAACAAAATCAATCGTCGAAAAAGATCATTCGTACAGTCTTCATTTACTCTTGCGAGTCTTCGTAGAAAATTGACATTATATTTACACACGATTGAAAAGTCGTATATCATCTCTGAAACGATGATAAAAACCTTTTACTTATAAATGTTAATTATAATGTCTAAATTAAGTAGTGACTAATTAAATGTTTTATTGTTTAAAAAGAATACCTTTGATTCATATCGCCCTTGAAATAATTTATTCATTTTCAGAATATTTAATATTGTTTTTATTATTTATACTGTATCAATTTATTCGACGTCGCGCGTCTCGACGCGTGAGTGCGATGCACTCGTAATCTCGAGGCAAAAGGTCGCGTTGAATGTTACGACTAATTGCAAGGTCGAGCGATGAGATACGCTGTCGTGAGAATTTTTGCCAATTAATCATACCTAACATTGCATAATTGGTATATAATCTTCGTCTACAGTGTTTTATCAACGCGTAATCGGTAGGATCGGACGAATAAAATTATTTTCTTATTTGTCAACTGAATGAACATATTTATTCGATTATTGTTACATGTGAAAGTACAATGTTTATTCGTAAAGCGTTTTAATTTTGTCCGAAGATCAGTGCGATCAGTTCGCAATCGATTATGTCGTTGCGATCGAAAGATTCGTTTTCGTACATGGTTCTTG